TACGGCGTCCCAGCAACGTCGTTTAACCGAATCGAAGACTCTCCACTCAAATTGGCCTCATAAACAGAAGCAGAAACCCCAAAGTCTGCAACTTTAACCGACCCACTGAAGTCAATCAAGATATTACCAGCCTTGATGTCTCTGTGGAGGTGCCCTTGGTCATGAAGATACGACATGGCGTTCAGTGTCTCCCTGAGGACGAAGGCAATGCAGGGCTCAAGTAGGCCGTCGGGGAAAGCAGAGGAGATTATGGATTGGAGAGACCCGGCGGACATGAACGGCATGACGACCCAAAGATGACGGTCCACAGTGAAAGAACAATGGGCGCTCAGGATATTGGGGTGTGAAAGAAGAGAGAGTGTCTTGGTTTCACTTAGAATGTTGTCGAAATCAGCCCCGGATTGATCGAGATCGATGGACTTGATTGCCACGATTGTGTTGTTCATCGGCAAACAGATGGCTTTGTAAACAACAGCGCTTACGCCGAAGCCAATTTCATCGAGGATTTGGTACGCAGTTGAGTCCAATGGGAATTGGACTTTCTTGGGTTCTGGGTTTTCTTGGTGAGAAGAAGAAGTCGACATTGGAGAAGAAAAAAAGCAGAGATCTTGATGAACTGAAATGGGTTTTTTCTGAATTCTGGGAAGTGGTTATGAGGAGAAAAAGAAAAGTTGGGGGTTTAAGCAGAAATCTTGTGAAAGGTTGACGATGCATGTTGAGTGTTGAACTGCTCTGCTTTTAGCCTTTTAGAATTCAAGAGTTGGGGGATTATTGCATGTAATTGCCATGTCAGCATTTTCTTGGGAATCCTACTTGATCTTTTGTGACGGTTTCTTTGTAATTGGAATTAGTTAGGTTGGTTAAGATAATACAGTTATTTGCCATGTCAGCATTTTCTTGGGAAGGAAGTCTTTTAACAATCTTAATCCTATTATTTATGTTTTGTGATAGAATTAATCAAGTGTTAGACACTGAGGGGTCCACCAAAAGTTTGATGTTATCAAAATTAGTAATACGTTTTTCATAATTAAAAAAAATAAAAAAAATAAATCATACATTTGTCAGAATTGATTACATCTCTAAAATATATATTGTTAATGTAATGTTGCCTAAACATATTGGGCTTAAATTATGTTGAGTTTAGGCTAGGCTAGGTCCAACCCAAACTTGTGGGCTTAGCTCTGGTCATTATCAAACATAATTATTGGTGAAATTTCTTCCATATTATGGCTCCACTCTATAGAACGCCTAATTTAAAAGCAAAAACAGTAAAATTCTTTAGTGAATAAAAGAAAGGGGCATTGACTTGCAGATTTGTGGTAGCAAGTTCAAACCTCTATGAGATCATAATAGTGTGTGTAATAAACTCTCTCATGTAGTTTAGACTATCGCTCGTACTTGAAAAAGAAAAGAAAAGGAACTTAACTTGCAGCAAAGCAATGGTTTTATGTTTGAACCATCTTCACATCTTAGTAGTGTGTGTGCGAGAAAGCCCCTTCCCCCTTATAGGTTAGACTATCGCTTGTATTAAAAAATAATAATAAGAACAATAAAAGCATACAGACCATATTATTAACTCAGAAAAATGGAAATATCATGGACACCAGCCATGGCCCTTTTGGCCTTTCTACATGAAAATAATAGAACCCAAAGAATAGAAAATCAAGGAAACTACGGCAGAGAGTAATGTGACTGATGGTGGAATGCGACCCCTGTCTTTTCGTATCAGCATCCCTTCAACGATAGGGTAGTTCATCAAAATGACATAAAAGGGTATGAAAACTTGTATGAAAAATTTGTCCAACTCCCCCAAAAAGATGACTCTAGAAATCCCAACAGCAAAGGAAGCCATGTTCAAGATCACCAGAGCAGCCATTGGAGCAAGAAATAATATTGATGTTTGGAAATCAAACACCCCCATATTGTAACGCTTGAGTTGGTCAACATCATCAACTTTGTCGGTTGGGAAGAAACTGGCTTCTCTCATACCAATTTTCTTCATGAAGGCATCCACACTGCCATATAAGTGAGATGTAACTGACTTCATCATCCATATCCTTTGCTCATTTATCCAATGTCGAAATGTAAATCCCGTTGAGAGAACCTCGTACAAATGTTTTGAAATCGACGATAGAAATACGAACGAAAATACGATGAAGTATGAATTTGAGACCTGCAAATCCAAGAACAAGACCAATATGTATTAGAATATTGCATGACACTAAATCAAATTGAAGATTTTATGATGAGAATTATTTTTTTTATGAGGGCGGTAGAATAGAATGGATGACTATAAGATAAATATTTATATTGTGAGATTGTTAGACTGTGTATGTGCTTCACACACTCAATCAAGAATAAACCTACTCGCACTAGGAAAAATGACCTCAATATTCACGGATGTTTAGTAGTTATTGCCCTCTAAATGAGCATAGATACATATCCCTACTTATAATTGTTTGTGTCATTTAGTTAGTATAGGAATGCGTATTGGTGTCAATAGTTCATATTCACAGTTTCTGTTGTCAGATAGCATGACAAAAAATAGATTTTTTTTTATTATACGCAAGGATTTCCTTAAAGATAAGTACTCTTTATCTTGAATCATTTGCGCAAAAGATATTTGATAGGAAGAAATATAAATAGAAAAAACTTTAATTACCTCTGGGTACAAAGGAATGCCATTGAGTAGGCAGAGCTGAGGTATGGTAGCAAAGCACCACAATGGCAAGAAATAGAAAATGGGGAAAAGAGCAAGTTCTGCATAACACAAGCTTTGAACGAAAGTGTACGTTTTCAAAGGGCCATATATAAGAGGACAAAACTTGGAGATGGCAACATCAACCAACCCAGAGGTCCATCTAGTCCCTTGGACTAAAAAGTCATCCAAATTGGTGATGCCACTGCCCAAGAACTGTGGCCTTGGTGGATTACAATACACTGAAATCCAACCTTTGCAATGCAAACGAAACCCTGTGAAGACATCTTCCACCACAGACCCATACATGAAACCAACCTGCCATAAATGAAAGAAAGACCACAATTATTATTAATATTATTAAGTTGAATGATTCAATGGGTATGGTTTTAATAGTATCTGTACTTGCCTCTTCTCCCCATTTGGTGCCATTTTCGAAGGTACAAGAGGCTAGGAGTTGGGCTTCATTTAGCAATGCTTTCTTTCTGTGGATGAGCATATCAGGCTTGTTGTTTTGGTGGAGGGATTTGATGAACTCATTGGATGGACCAAAAGATTGTCTAAGTTTCATGGGATCCGGATCCCCATCTGGAAATTCAATAGTGAAACTAGTAATTAGCTATAGCAACTTGTGATTAATTATAACTTACAAGAAAGAAATATGTACATAGATGAATACAAATACATGCTTATATAATGTCTAAGAATATATACTATTAATGAATAAGGCGTTCATAGCTCAAGTGATTAAGAGCGCAGCATTTACTCCTGCACTCGATATCCTAGGATAAACTTGTCCGGATAATAACAATTTAATTTTCTTTTTCAAACCATAGCTTTTTCCTTGAAGCAAAGATTAATACAATCAAACTGAAATGATTGACAAAGACAATGACACATATATACTAGCCAGCTGCAATTACCAAGTCGATCCAAGTAAAACAATGTATACATACAAAAACACACCTTCATGTATGGAGCTTGAACATAAGGACAACCTCTTGATGTAATAGCCGGTACCAGACACACATGGCCCTCCAACCCCATCAAAACCTTGCCATAGCAGCTTTGAAAGTAGTCAAGACCAACAAGTCATAAAATTTGCAGATATATTATTGCACATAAAATATATATATATAATTTTCTTTAATTATTTAGGGGCTAATTTGTAATTAAATATATTAATTCATGTATAACTAAAGTGAAGTTTTGTCCTTGAATCCATACCCAAAATCCCGACCTCAGCTGACTGTCGTAGATATCATTATTACTGATGTTGTGAAATTTTTGAGGGAATTGAACAAATGCTAGGGAGGGTGATATCTTTGGGTCAAGATGGAAACACATTGCTTGCCGAGCCGAACTTGGATCATGGCAATGCATGTCACAATCTAGCCCTAATATGTAAGGAGAATTGCTTATCACACCAGAGACCCGTAGCTGAAAAACAACATATAAGTGCACAACATATTAATTTACACGTAAATAAATACATGGATTTGTAGAAAAATTGTTCACTTGTTAGATAGTCGGGCATATATAAGTTATGTCAAACTGTCACTTTGCGTCGATAATAAAATGAATAATTAGTTTGAGCTTTGGTAATACGTAACATACTATATATATTTGATAAGAGAATATTACTGTAAGATAATTAGCAAAAGATAGAGAGATACATACAAGAACATTGAGCGCTCCAGCCTTAAAATAGTGGGGATGAGAAGGCCTTTTCTCACGAGAAACATAAACAAGGAGAGGCATATTTTTGGTTTCATTTTCTTGAATTGCATCATCACTGGATGTTTCTTGTATAACCTGCCAAAAGTCCAGTTATCGGTTATGATCATGAATTTATGTAGGAAAATGCGTACTTGTCGGTTGGCAAACCAAAGAAGAACTTGGAAACTTGGGTTTGTTGTGATGAGCTCACAAACCAAGGCTTATTCTCAAGATATTCCCAAAAATTATATCTAGGGACGATGGTTTAAATATAGCTCTATTTATAAATTATATTTGCTTCTACATGCTTGATTAGAGTTTGACTCTCCATTTTTTTTATTTTAATACTAACTTACTAAAAAAAACAAGTGTCACCACCAAGCCTAAAAACTCATTGATATTTATTTAGAAGGTGTAAAAGTAAAAGATTTCTTTGCCCCTCATTCTTAATGAAAATATATATATATCAAAACCAAATTAGTCAACAAACAATACCAAATGTTAATATATACCTCAATCACTGCAGGGTGATCTCGACCCAGTCTGCTCCTTGTGTCCCCAACCGTTGCTTTTTCTCTTACTCTTTTCTTAAACACCTCATATTTCTCCTGCGCCCAAATCTCCCCCGTCAACTCTGGTAGCTAGAAACACCATTAATATAATATATAATATATTGTCACATATCAACTGTTCATATAATAGATGTTCAGTTGAGATGTTATAGTTTTCTTTTTCATTTAATGCACAAATTAATTATATAGCGTGTATAATAAAATGTTGTGTTGGTTAGTATGCAAAAATTTCAACTCTCATTCACCTTAATATCTTCTCTGTCTTGAATGAACTCGTTGCCGCCAAAATCAACATCCTCCTCTTCTGCAGAGAAATAAGCCTCCGGAGCCCTGCACTTGATCCCATACCTCCTACAAAATGGAAGCCACCACTTTGCAAATCTCCAAGCCTCTCTCATACCTTTCAAAGTCACAGCAGCACCACCTGTTGTGCGCAGCGGAAGTAGATTGCACTGGGGTGGTGGATATGAAACCGTTGAAACAACAAGAGCAAAATATGAAATACAGAAATCCAAACGACACAAGGATTTATACTGGTTCGGCCCGTGTGTAGCCTACATCCAGTTCGAAGACAGCGAGAAATTCCACTAGTATCCCAAAAGAGATTACAACCAAAGGAGATTAACCCTCTCACCTATCCTAGGAATTACAGAGTTTAACTCTCACAACCCAAATCCCAAATACACCCATGTCACTCTCAAGCTAACCACACAAGAAGACTAAAGCTGTAGAGTGGAAGAATATATGTGTCCGGTTGATGAAGATTGATAGCTTGTGGACATGGCAGAGATGAAGAGGGAGCTTAGAAGAACTCTCCATATCTTCTTCTATTGTGGCAAGTTTTGTGCTTGGTATGTGCGTTCTCTCAACACCCACAACTATCAACTACCTACACCCTCCACCTCCTTTTAAAGGACCATAAACGAAAGAGTATTGACTCATAAATTAAGGTAAAACTAAGTTTTATGAGTATTGACTCATAAAAAGAAAAATATGTTGAAAAATATTTTCAGTTTTCTTGATCAGCAAGATACCATGGCCGCGGGCGGCTGTCTTGGTTGACTGTATTTCAATGAGGACGACTAATTACGTTTTCTACTTACATTACAATAATATTAGAGAGAGAGAGAGAGAGAGTTACCATTGATTATTTAATTTATAGTTACCAATTAGCTACGGATTTAGTGATATTTCTCCACAGTTCTCAAACAGAACTAGTATTGAATTTCTGTTTTCATTAAAACAAACAGAAACTTCAAATGTTTAATTTGCCTTTGTAAAAGACGGGCTTCTGTCATATGACATCTCCATCAACTTGTTATATGTTTGGATATTAATCAAGTTTACGTCTCAAAATTGGCCACACATTTTGTCCAAGTCAATTACGTCTCATGGTTTCGAAACTTCTCTGCGGATAAGTCAATGAAGCTTTTGGCACAATCAGCAAAAGAAAACAACAAGGTGATGCGTGGTGGCCAAGCCCCAAACATTATAATTATTTTCTAAGAAAATAACGCAAATTGGAATCTCATTTTAGATTGTTTTAAGTACATTCTCTAAGCATAAGTGGCTTATGTCAGCCTCTTAAGGTAGAGTTGAGCCTCTTGAGTTTGAGTTTAATTCCAATAAAGTAAATTAATTTAAAGTAATTTAGATAATCATTTGTATTTAAAAAAAGAGTATATTTTTTAAAATAATATTTTCATTGAAGAACCCGAAATATAATATTAAGAAGCATATGCAGTTGTGAGGGATTTGTAAATCAAGTGGTTATAAGCATTTACCCTTTCATTAGAGATCCTAGGTTCAATTCCCCCCTCCCTCAATATTGCTTGTATAAAATATAAAAAAAGTATATGCAGTTGCACCAATAAACCATACTTTTCTTTAAAAAATATCACAAATTCAAATCTCCTTTCACATTAAAAAAAAAAATATTTACTTTATTCTGAAAACTCTAATATATATTTTTAGGTACTCTGTAGAGATTTCATGCAGCCAGGGCCCAGGAGAAGAATATTCTGTTGGAGGGGTTCGACCAAATAAAGCTCATTTGTTAGACCAAGTTAAAACACATTTTTTGGACCATCAAATAATCTGTCTCTCCACACTTGAGAGGAATTTGATAGGACTTGGGAATTTGTTAGCATGCTACGCATACATGCACCACAAAGAAAGGAGAAAAAGAAAGACAAAAATGTTGATGTAGTCTTTAATATCCAATACCATCAATTGAATGTGGGATGGGAATGAAAGGATTAGTTTGAAACGTTTGCCATGAAAAAACAAAACCAGGAATTTCACTTCAAGAGGGCACCTCGGACATTTTAGTTTTCAAAAACAAAATTTTTTCAAAATCCTTAAATAATAATAATAATAATAATAATAATGCTGATTAAGCTTCATCTCATGGCCATGATTAATCCATTCAATCTCAACGATTAAAAAAAACACATCCAATGGCTATTATATAAATTTGAGGGTTAAATATTTAATATCAATTGTTGTAGGTGTTTTTAGCACAGCCAACAATGAAGCACAGCAAAAACACTGACGTTAATTTTGTGGAAGATGTTAAAATTCTCCTTTAATTTTTTCAACAATTTTAATGTAAAACCCATGTTCTATTTGATTTCTTATATGTTAGTAATCGTATAAAATGTCAAAAATCGAAAAAATTTAAAAGCTTATAGTGAATATTCCTGCGATGAGTTGGTACAATATTATAGATCTCATCTCATGTTAGAGATTCAAAAAGAAACAAAAAATTGTTTCATTTTAGTATTTACTATTAGATGATGGGAGGCCTAGTAGATTGAAACAATATAACACAAACTTTTGATTGAGCAGAAAGTAGAAAGTTGGGTTAACTGGATCTAGTCCAGTGGAGAAGGGCCATGACTTTGTCTCAAGTTCGAACCCTCATGGCAACTTAGTATAATATGTGTGAGAACCCCATTGTAATTTAGACTATCGCTTGTATTCAAAAAATGAAGTAGAAAAAAATAAACAGAGCATAAATAATTAAAAAGATATGACTTATTATTCCAACAAAAAACCAAAAACAAAATATGTATTATATTCAAGATGCAAGGTTAATGCCAAAAGTTCAACACAGAAGATGTATTATTCCCTAATACTTCTGTTACTCTTCCAGACCAATAACAAAACTAAATCTCCCACTTTCCAGACATCACCAACAAGAACTACCACTTCCGCTATTGTATTGACATCAGGCATTGTACTTTCGTGATAGACAGGAGGAAAGTAAGGCCGCAACATCAATTGCAATTTTCACCCGGAAAGTCAAAATACTCTAAGGAGGATGAAATCTGACCCATTCTCCAGGCAATCTCTATTATCTGGGTGACAATTAAAACAACAACCCCTCAACCCCAACTATCCCTGATAATACTCAGTTCAAAATAGCAAAAACAATATAACTCTATCCCAGGGAAAGCTCTACCTAGCTTCCAAAATAGTATCTCCCTCTCAAATAAACTATCATTCCACTCTAACAGTTCCCCAATCTGCTCTACTTGCCTTCTTAACAAAAAGACATGCCATCCCACCAGCACCTATGGAACACTCAAGACATCACACAGAGGGAGAGGGATGGGGGAGAGAGAGCCCAACAACTGTATGAACATGTATTACAACTCATATACTCATTTGCTTGAAACACATACAACATCAGAATCTTCCTTGTTTAATGAAAATTTTTCAACATCAGAATCTTTTCTATGAGAAAGTAAATGCCTAAGCAAAGTACTGTCTCTTTTACAATTTGCTTACTAATGATTCTTCCTCCTCCCTAAACAGACTTCTAATATTTCCTAAAACAAAGTATGACTCTTTTCATATTCTTCTGTAGCATCATGAATGACCTCAATAGATGAAATGGTCTCCATCACTTATGAAAAAAGTACAACAAAGGAATCTATATTCTTCTGTATGAGAATAACTAGACACAAAAGCATGTTGTGAAAAATGGACAAACACTTTCACTCACTCCCCTAATGATCTTGTTGTTGATGGACTTTGTGACACACACAATGATGGATGAATCACACACACACACTTGAGACAACAACCAAGCACAAAGTGACACAAGAATTTATAGAGGTTCAGCAATTGCCTACATCCTCTTGGTGATCCCCTTGAGAAATTCACTTCATGAAAGAATAAGTTACAACTTTGGTTTTACACAGAAAACCCCCTTAGAACTCTATTCTCTCCCCAAGCTCTCTTTTCTCTCACACCCCTTGCTCAACACTTTGATGCACTTGTGAACACTCTCACAACCCTTGGTGTTTCCCCCCTT